CCCCCCCCCCCCCCCCCCCCCCCCCCCCCTCTCCTTCCTCTTTCTGCTTGCATGACATTTACTCTCCTCTCACACATCCTGTATTTAACTCTTACCCACCTTCCGCTTTCTCCCTCCTACCTGTTTTCCAAATCACTTTCTCTCTTGTATACCTCCTCTCCTTTTCCTCCCCTCAGTGCCTCTCACACAAAACAAACAAAATGACACTATTGACATTTGAAAAAGAAGATTTGATTGAGCAGAACTGTCCCATCTCCAGCTGAAAGCCGGATGAATAGAAACACAGCTGGGCTCCACTGGAGGACATTTATTGGCTGTAAACGAGCGGGGAAGTACATTGTGATAAATGACACCTCTATGTAGCACTCTGTCATTGTACTGGCTCCATGCTAATTGGCTTGCCTCTGTAGTGTTTTAGTACTTTGATTTTTAAAGCAGTGCCCCCAGACTTCATGGAGTATGTGTGGAGCCACATTTGCATAAACACACATGGAATCAACACCCAGGATGTTAGTCTGGAACCTCTAAAGTATCTTGTTCCTGTTGACAGCAACTTCAATCTTCAACTTCTGTCCAGAAAAATAAATCCTTCTGACCTTTTCCAGCTAAATAAACATGAAAAAGTAACAAATCTTTCTCTGTTCTTACATGTTGTACAGCCAAAAGCCTTTTTTAATTTAACTCATCTGGCCGTCTTTCTAACTATTCACTCACCTTTTTATACTCTTCTAAAAAAGTTATCTAACTAACTGCATATGTTCAGTATCGTAGATAAAAACAATTAATTTAACACAGTTGTTTTTTGGGATACTTGTTAATATTGTTACATGATTGACTTGAAAAAGCAGTCTAGCTCTCTATCATGATAGAGAAGTAAAAAAATATAGAGCCTGATTTAAAACTATTACCATGAAAGAAAGACCAGACTCACATAATGTTGTTATTTATTTATTTATCCTTTACTCATGCAGGGCAACCTTATGATTTAGTAAAACCTTATTTAATACTGTTCCATTGTTTGTATTTCACTTTAAAGAAAGTGACGCAATAACAAATATTTGTTTTAATTTGTAAGCATATTTTGATAATTATCAGGATAATATCTCAATTATTTTAGTCAGGATAATCGTGACATGAAATCAGTCTTCATCACAATACACAAAATATGAAAAAATAGTACACACCACTTATGACTTATGCAATAAAATACATAATACATTAGAATGTGGAAAGAGTTCAAACTGAAAATGATTAATTCTGAAGATGAAGTCCATTTCAAGTGTTATAAGGAATTAACGACTACGCTATTTAGTAATATGTCCTTTAATCATGAAAAGTTCTTCAGGTTGGATGATTCCAAAATGAACAAGTTATACGTAATTAATTATGTTCTTTTCTAACACATGCAAAGTGTTTTTGGGGTCATATCAGTCCATGTAGGATGCGTGTATGTGCATGACACAATCGATAATATAACTAACTTACTAACTAACTGCAGTGACTCACATGAGTCATAATAAGACCTACACTGTAAAAGAAGAGGAGAGTTTAGAGGCCTGACATGCAGCTTGAGAGGTCACACGAAGGTCGGCAGTAAACATCTGAAATAAGTTCAGACGAAAAGGCCAATGAGAGCAAAGCACCGAGCTGTCTCACGGCTTTTAATCATGGAAAACAGGGATTTGAGGGATTGTTTTTACAATAATAATAATAATAATGTCATTATTTAGTTACAGGTCTGAGCATGATAATAACAATGACAGATTTACCTGTAAGTAAATAAAACACACAACCAAATTGAATAAACTAAAATAAGGGAGAAATCCTAAATAGATGATTAACTTAAGGGTGGGGGCGGGGTTGTAATGATGTCTTGAGAGTCAAACACACACTCTAGGCTGATGGGATTTCACAGTAGCAGTCGGACATGTTTCACACAGAAGGTATTGCTGACAGGCAGAAGTGAGCGGGAGCTACTTCCTCAGGTGCCTGCTGCATTGGCCTGGAACACAAGACCCTGTAATATCCAGTGAGAGGAGTGTGCAACAGTGCCAATCAGTGCTTCTCTTTATACATCTACTCTGCACACACACACACACACACACACACACACACACACATTCACACAAGAGAGATACACTTTTATGTACAACATGCTACTCCAGCATTTGACCTGCGCAGCTCTAATGGAGCTCAAGTGAGGGAACAAGGCCAGTATTCTACAGCCTCCATCTATTTATGTCTGTTTTTGTATCATTTAGAGTTCAAACCAGTCTCTCTCTCTCTCTCTCTCTCTCCCTCTCTCTCTCTCTTTCTCCCTCTCCCTCTCTCTCTCTCGCTGTGTGTGCGCTGATGAGCTGAGTGAGTGATTATGGAGGTAATGAAAGGCATCATGGCAGTGTGTTAGTGAGCGGTAATGACATTACGTTACAGCAGTGCTCTGGTTTTCATCAATGAGGGGGGAAGCAGGTAGAGACAGAAAACGAGGACTTGGACAGGAAGGAGATAGAAGACCAAGAGAGCGAAGGTCTTCATTAGAATGACATCACGTCAAAGGCCAAAGCTTAGTTGCGCCTCACGAGGACTGCTGTAGATGTGATGGCGTTGTAAAAGTCATAATCAGTCCTTATTCACTTTTGTGCTCTGAAGTGATGATTTACAGTGTTGTGCCAGTTGGCTGTCGTCTCTGCGGTGTGTTCAAGTGCAAATGTCAGTCGGCCTTCGCACCGCTCTAGTTCTTTGATGAAGGTTTGCTTTGTCAAGATACATCTGAGGAGTCATGATATGATAGGAAACAAGAGTATTTTTGCTACACAAATTATGTAAAAGAAAAACAATTCATTTTTTTGTGACCGTGTTGTGCTTAAGTGCAATTCTCAGAATCCGTTCAGGGGTTCCCAACCTGGGGGTCAAGTCCCCCTAAGAGGTCTGAAGGGCCTGACACAACAGACCTGATGTCGGGCCGACCCTACTTTCCTGCACTAATGGAAATAGTTGGCAGCTTTTCAGGTCGATTGTTGAATTTGTGGCGATCGAGAGTTGTTTGAAAAATAGTTGGCAAAAGCTGCTTTGTTTCATATATTTATCATAACAATGGCTTTTATATCTGCAGTCCTCGGTCTTCTGGTTTCCCTGTTTGAATGACCAATACAGACTACTGCTACCTGCCGGTATGGAGAGTTATTTCCCTTCTTGCAGGCGCAGAACGTACCTGCTAGTTAGCCGTTGTCGCTAAGTCTTCGCGGTGTGTCAAGTGCAACTCTTTTGGCCCAAAACACAAGGGACTTGAGGCGACGTGACAGTTTGCCTTCATCTGCGGCAGTTCTTTGACGGCGGTGTGGGTGCGTAAAGATAAATCTGAGGAGTCATGACATGATTAGAAACAGTTTTCAATCATTTTTTTAAATGGGAAAACATGCTCACAACTCAAGGAGGCCGGAGGAGCTTCCGTTTAAAAGGTCTCGAGATAGAAGACTATGGATGTACAGATGTAACTCTATAAAAGTGCTGCACTGCTTTGTTTGAGAAAAAAAAGTATGCATTGTCAGATAACTTTCCATGGATAAATGATACTGTATATATGTATACATTTTTCTGTTTAATACTTGCTGTTTAGATGAAAAGTGGCCTGTGCTGACTGATATACTCTAATTGATTCAGATGGTTTTGTGTGTGTGTGCACACGGTCTGTTGGCGCATGTTTTTCTCGGAATAACGCGCCAATAAGCTGTTAATGACTCTGAGGACATGAGACCAGAGACTGATGATTATCTAAATGTGACTCTCCTCATCAGCTGAAGACCACACTGCTGCTACTGCCGCCTCCCAAAGTGTGACCCCTGAGGCTCTAACTGTTGCCGAGTCATCAAACGGCTCCGACCCAAATGCGAATACAAGCGGCACCGGCAGTTTGAGTGGCAACGCAACGACAAAGGGGGAAACCGTCTCTGTGACCCCCGACATAAAGAAAGGTAACTATGCAACAGCCTGTTTCTAAATATAGTGTTAGAAAACACTATATTATACACATAGAAAACACAATGTGGTTTGGCAAACAAAGGTGATCTGGTGTTGCAGTAGGTTTGCCAGAAGAGAAGATCTGTCACACTTCAGATGTGAGGGCTCAGAGTTTAGCAGCTATATTTAAGTCCTTATCTCTGTTTTCCACGTCCAGAAGCACAGCCACAGAGCGAGCGACTGGGTTGATCTGCTGACCCAGTTTAACAATTAAAAAGAAAAAAAGATTTTAAAAATCTGGAGGACAGAGATCGAAAAGAACTTGAAAGAAGATGCCGTAAGATGCAACTAAAAAGAGTAGAATTAAGAATTTAGGATGAGTGCAGTCTGTTAGGAGAGCTGGTGAAATGTGCTGAGAGAAGAGGAGAGAAGTGATTAAATGCTGTGTGACTTTTCACAAGGGGGTGAGAAAGGTAGAAGTGTAATACACCTCCCCCCTCCTCCCCACATCTCCCTCACTGCTCTCCTCTCACAAACACACTCGGCTGCTGGTTCACACATTAAACTCGCTAACATATTCACAGGCAAGACACTTTCTTTAGGCACTTAAGTTTAATTTAACAACATAACAGTTCAGTACTCAACTTTAACATTGAGATGTTCACAGTTTAGTTTTCTGCCTCAACACAATAGGATTGAGTTGAATTGATTTATATTTTGTGGAGTGTTGAAAATGTGCACTTTAATAACGGTAAGGAGGCTACAGCCACGCTAGCGGCTCTGTGGTGCTTTGAGCTAAACGCTAACGTTGGCATGCTACATAACATGGTCACGAACGGCGTCGCAATATACGGGTATAGACGATAACTATTTTAAAAAATGTGTTATTGATATCATGTTAATAATACACATATGATAATACTGTGTTAATAATCCAGCACCTCTTAAACGCTCTCCACCTCCAACTCATTAACCAAAACAAAGACAAAATGCACAATAAACGTCATAAATAAAGTTATGATGAATTTGACTCAAAGCGTTATTGTTATTATTATTTAAAATTGTATATAGATATTGCGATGATATTGTTTACATGAGTTCTTCAATAATCATAATAATAATATTGTGACAGCCCACATCCACAATGCTAATCATCTTAGTTTAGCGTGTTAGCATGCTAACATTCGCTAATTAGCATGCCACACGGAGTACATCTGAGGTCAAGTTCACTGTGCCCTCACGTCCGTCCCAATCTTGTGAACTTAATATTCTCAGGAACTTCTTGAAGGTATTTCTTCAAATCTGGCACAGACGTCCATCAATCATTAAGGAATGGAAAAACATGGACGTAAACTGCAACCTGACTGGCTGATGGACGTATACAACGACGAGGCGGTCGTAAATAATATGTTTTTTCTTTCTCTTTGTACAGTTACCAACATTGTCTCTCCCAAGGAGACTGCCGTTCCGGAAAACAAGGCGACAACACAGCCTTTACTTCCTCCTTCCCCTACCTCTCACACCCCCACCACTACCCCCACCACCAGCATCACCTCCACCAGCATCACCTCCACCAGCATCACCTCCACCACCACCACCGCCGGCCCCACACACACAACTCACACCACCACCACTGTAGACACACCGACCACCACGCCACAAACAGAAACAACACATCATGCTGCACTTCCTGACTCTGCTACACCATCAAACCAGCCCACTCACAACACAACACTATCACCCACTTTGGTCCCAACAACTGAGCCACCAAAACCCAAAACCACCACCACCGCCATCATCACCGCCAGTTCAATATCCAGCACCAGCTCCTCTCAAGAGGGCCCCAGTTCTGAGGCGTCGACGCTCACACCTCCACAAAACACCTCACAGTTCGACGGACACCCCGAGGCCTCAAGCGAAGCCCACACGACGCACACCGTCAACCCGCCGAGCAGGCCCTCCACCCAGACCAAACCCCATGCTGAGAACCCCTCTCAGCTCAACGTCGGGGATGACCGTAAGTGCACGATCTGTGTTGGTGTGTCAATTTATTGTGACTTGATATCAACAGGGCCCGAGGTAAATTGGCTGAACGACAAAGGCGACGCTGTTTCTTTGTTTTCCAGCACAAGTCTCTGCACACACAGACCCCCCCCCCCCAGGCGTCTAAATGTTCTACAAGCACTGTCACCACCAAGCACTCCACAATTATGGCTCTGTTTGGGAAAGAGACAGAGGCAGTCATGGGACTCGAGGCCTCGAGAATGCTCTGTTTTCTTTCTTTTTCTGTCTCTCTCCCCCTCTGTCTTTCTGCTAACAATATATACTCCAGCTTGAGAGGACTTTTAGCACAGTGTCGTCACAAAGGAAGGAAAACTCTCCTCATTTGAACCAGCCCACTTGGATACAGTTGAAATATAAAGTTCTCTCTGCTTCTCTCACTCCGCGTGGTTTTATTAGGCCACGCTTGGCACCTCGCCTCTTTCCGTTAGCCAGAGGAACAGGGAGCATTCGCTGCTCTGTGGTTGTTGTTACTTTCAACCAGAGGATAAAAAACTGTAAAAAAAAAACCAGTTTCCATGGAAACATCCAAGCTGACACACACTGCACAGAAATATACACACACAGAAGGACATCAACATAGAAAGGTCAAGAGGGATGATGTGAGAGATTTAAAAGGCACCCAAATTAAGACATACTGTACGGTATGCACACACAATATAAACTGCTTGATTCTACAATAAATCTAAACGTTTTTGCCCTATAAATAAATTCACTTGCTCGACAGAGAGCTCAAGTACGGGAAAGCTTAACATCACCATCCTGTGTTTGACAATTCTGTCCTGAGCTACGTACACGAGGAACACTCAACATGTCGAGTCTATATTTAGCTCCACTCACAGCTTTAAACAAGCGTGAAAGAAGCCGAAGTTCTACTGTTTTATTTACACCTCGTCGAGTCAAATCCATCTTCCTTCAAGGAGGAACGTGCCCTGCTCAAGTATCTCCTGTGTGTTTTGGTTCCAGCAACGATGGTCCACGATTCTCCCACATTAGACCCGCTCCTGGCTGGCCTGGTGTCAGCCTTCATCATCACTGCGGTCATCATCACTCTGCTCCTCTTCCTCAAACTGCGGCGGAGACACAACCGACCAGAGTTCCGCCGGCTGCAGGACCTCCCTATGGTGAGCATGTTGAGCTTAATATGATGATGTCGTCTTGAGACTTATTGCACTTCTGTCCATCCTGGGAGAGGGAACCATCTTCCGTTGCTCTCCAGGAGGTTTCTTTCTGTTTTTCCCCGGTAAAGGTCAGAAAGCTTTACCACAAAATTGTCTAAAAATGTAGCACTTTTGACCATATAAACTGTGTAAACATAAGCGCTGGCATATAATATATTTATGTGTATAATTATTCAATTTTTTTACTTGTGCAGGACGATATGATGGAGGACACACCCTTGTCCATGTACAGCTACTGATGGAGGAATGACTGAAAGATTTCGGCGCTCAAATACTCTCCTTGAATCCCGGCCTTAAATCTGCACCAAACAGAGAGAATTCTGGGTAGGTGTGAGCGAACTCATCTAGATTACCGACACGTAGTAAAAGACACGATTGAAAGCTGCAATGGACAATGAAGACATCACGCATGTTGGGGTCGTTTTGAGCAAAACGTCTATTTTGGTGCCTGTAATTACAAATAAGCCCCACTTCTCTGTTGAATACTGTGTGCTTCATATTTTTTCAGCCCATCTTTTGGGCAGTGGGAGTTTGTATAATATATTTAGATTTCCCTAGCAGCATCATCTGTTGCGTCCATCATTAGGATGGTTCACCCCTGGACACAGACTCTCACCTGAGGGCACCGGTCTAATTATTCAGTGTTACAAAGTCTGACGGAAAACCAAAAAGTCTGTCAGTCTGACTGAGAAGCCAGAGAAGATAGGTGAACATAACAAATGACCCGATTATAGTGTTAAAAAAAAAAAAAAGAGTTGCACTTTACTTTTTCAGTAGTGTGTGTGAGGAAAGAATGCGTAGCAGTGAGTGTGTTTGCAGGTGTGTGAGTCTGTTAAAGGTGTGTGTGTGGATTTTTGAAGGTGTGACAGGGGATATTTAATTGGTTTCCTGTTTTTCTATTTTTTAAGTTTGTGTTTTGAAGGTCCTGCTGGCTTTTGGCCTGATTTTGATATGTGCAGTGTGTGTTTTTTTTGTCTCTTTCCTGGAGTCTCATGTCCAGGAAAGAGTGCCTTACACCGTATAGGAACAGCTCTTTATTGCAGACTGTATTTGTATTCAAACCAACTAACTTCATTCCCAGTGCTTAGTGCGACTGCCACTTTAACGCACACACACTCTCTCTCTCCGGGAGCATAGCTGCTCTGACATGCCTGTGTTTGAACACTCAGGCCTGAGCGTGTTCACCGTGAGGCACACAGTTGCAGACTGAACCCGGCCGGTGGCCTTTCCACACGATGTTGGCAAATACTACTGACGATTGCATCACACAAAGACAACTTGTCATCTTAGTTGCTGCTTCAGCGTTCACCAGTTTAAAAAGAAAACGTTACATGTGACCCGACGGTATCTCATTGATTATAATAATGCGCAGCGGCTTCGGGAATGAGACGCACACAGGACGACAGAACAAACACCCCGTCGTTAGAAATCAACCGGAGCTAATACTTGTGTTCACTATTTAATGTTTGTGCCATGAATGACTACAGACGGGTGACAAATTAAAGGAAAAGTCCACATTAAATGTCTTAGTAAGGACGTTTGGCCACAATGGGTCTTCAAAACAGCTCTTCTCCTAGATTACACAAGTCTCTACTGGAGGAAAGGAGAGATCTTTCCTCACTTTTGTCACTCGTCTGTACGTCCAGTTCTAAATTATACACTTGAGATTTCTAAAATTAAGTGTTGAAAATTGTCTGTAAGTGTCGTGAATGCACAACAAGGCTTTGCAGCCAGATGTGGATTATGGACTGTTAGTGTTTTATGATTAAAGGTATTTTGAAATCATCCTCTGTGTTTCAGGTCTCAATTATTATTTTTATTTTAATAATGGAAAAAAATACACACAACAAATGCGACAATATGATGACATGACAGTATATCCTCACAAAGACAGAGAAAATAAACAATATAGACAATAGAAAACAACAAATAAATGAAATAATGAGACAAAATGAAATTATGTTACATGTTATGTTGTGCTACTTTGTAGCAATTATTTTTCCAAAGGAATTTGACTTTGCAACATATTTATTTTTAGGAAATATGATTCAGATTAGTTCTGATGAATTTTGACCCAACACAATACTTATATTTATTATCTAGGGACTGCCAACACAATGTTTAAAGGTGCACATTTAAAACAAATGTTTAGCCAAATTTAGATATTGATCTCCAGACACATTACATCTTCCCCATTACACAATCTACATAATGACTGTTTAATGTTAAACATGTTATTGGATCTAAATTATGAATAACAGAGTTTGTTATAAACTGCTGACCGCAGCACCAACAAACAAGCAGCCACAGAAAGTCGAGCTCCTCTTTCACTTTTATTGCTGAAGACAAAACGCTTTCTTACAGACCGTCACTGAAAGAATCAGTGGCGCTGCGTTACAGCAGCACCACTGCACAATTAAAACGGCAGTAGAAGGGTCTGATTCATCGGCCGTTATGTGGCCACAACAACAAATGAATGAGCCCTTTCTTCATCAAATGTCTCCTCAACCACATTAACAGCCAGACAAGGAGCGCGTCTCAGAGGAGGTTTGTTTAAATGCTGTGACGTACCGCTCCGTGCCATTTACTCTTCTCTTTCTTTATTGCTTACTAGTGAGACAATTTGTCTCATTAGATTAACTGTGCAGTGTCTTTCACCCCCCTGAACACCTGACCAGCAGCTCCCTGCACTGTGGTCTGGGGTCCTCGATTGGGGGGGGGGGGGTCTGGATGCGGAAATATTTAACAGCTTGACACCAAGCCTGGCGCAGAGTGATTCATGTCAGACATGACCGACATAAAGGGACTCTTAACTGAGCTGTGTTTGTATATAGAGACATGGCAGTGGAGGCCGGGGGGGCCTTGCCGTAATGGCGAAGGATTTTTTTGGATTCCTCTTCGTCTTCACTTCGGCTGCATAATCAAAAACCCATTCCCTCATCAGGTTTCTCCCGGGTTGAAGAGTGCATTGAGTCAGGAAGAGAAGTCCATTAAGCATCCATTACTCTGCTACGCTGATAGATTACTGTACATCGAGGGATCGCAGCTTGTGCAATTTCATGAGGTTACTTTTTTTTTATATATATATATAATCCATATATTTATAATCCATAACAAAAGTTATTTAGGAAAACATCAGATTATGAAAACACAAATCTTTCTAATAAATGAAGAAAGTTGTTTGTGGTCCTTTTGTTGTTCAGTCTACAATGAACATTTATTTAAACCAGATGTTGTATCAGAAAACGAATCAAATATAAAGCTTGAGTTTAATCTGTGATCCGTCTTCACTGTTTACATGTTGAACAAAATCTCATCAGTCCGACCGGCTGCAGCGTCCAGTCACATGACTGATGAACAATGAGGGGGCGTGTCGGCCGTTAAAACACTTCCTGGAAGTCTGTTCTCGTGGGTCCTCGCTCATGGCTCCTCAGAGCAGAAATAAGAGCTTTGGGACGGCCGTCAATATGGCGGCGCAGAACAACTTCCGGTTCGAGGAGTCAGAAGTTCAACAACCAGAAGTTGTTGAAAAGCGACGAAATGCCAATTAAGAGACTTGGGACTTGTCCATTTCCTCGATTCCGGTTGAACCGGACCCGGAAGTTGGAAATTACGTCTTATGGCGGACGTTTGAGAGGAGAACTTTCAGGTCAAAGAGCTGATATCAGATCAGCCTGACCTCACAATCAGACAGCAGACTGGCGGGAAAGGGAAGCAGTACATGCGAAGCTTCTCTACTAGCCGTACACCAGACAGGTTTGGCTAGCTGGATGACGTCATGCTAATAACTTATTTAGCTTTTTAAAACAACGGGGACAGATCCAGCACGGACAGCTAGGGAGTGAGGGACATGAAGCACCTGTCTGAGAAATGCATATATAGTTATAAATAAATAATTATATATATGTGTGTTTTATATTATAGTGAATATTATTATGTGATATACATTATTATATTATACAGAATAGTATTATATGATATATATATTATTATATTATACTGAATAAGATGTCCTGACGTGTTTATCAAAGTGTTATTTACTGCTTTTTTTCATGTTGGAATAAAAGGTTAAATATTTAAATGCAAAGTAGTAATACGTGTTTGACACCTTAATTTGTTTGCATTAAATAATTCTGGGATGTTTGCTGACATTGATTGGATGTGGCACAGCCCTACCTAGAACATGTTCCACCAGCCGCCACTGAACCTCACTATTTAAAACACTTCACACTCGTCCCAGCGAGCACTGGTTCCCGTGCAAGCGTGAGACGCTTTACGCTTTGTTAATGCCCGTTCTGGCTGACAAGCAATATGTTCTGTGAAGAAGTGAGAAGTCAACGAGTGTAACCAGCAGAAAGCCATAAAGCAACCTCCACAATGACGAGGAGGAATTATAATTCACTGTAAACTTCTATATTATATTCATGGCCTGCTTTATAGCCTTCATCCAAGTCTTGTGAAGAAACAAGTCCAGTAATAAATGTATTATGATCAAACAAAGGTAGAAAGGGTTAAAATCCTGTCAACAATTTGATTTGGCTACAAAATACCGAGTTAAATGTTGTTAAAGTCTTCAACTCATCAAGACTTTTCTCCGTTTTTTAATTCTTCATTCACCGTGGAGGCACGAGAGAATAAAGTTTTCTTCAAAAACTCAAGGTAACACGGGGTGAGTACTATATGATACACAAATGGTAGTTTTGTGGGTGAACTATTCCTTTAAGGCAACACAAGCACACTGTGGACGTTATGGGCAGAGGCGAAAGTCCTGCAGACCTAAACTGCACCAAAACCTCACCTAATCCCAACAATCTGTCATCACAAACGCCACTATTTTTAAACCGTGTGGTTTAGCGGGACCAATCCCAGGGCTTCTGTCCACTTCACTGTGGCAGGACCCATTCATCTTCAGTGACTGGAAACGTGGGTGCAGAGGGTGTGGCAAAACTGAAAGCCTTATATCCATTGGGTGGCGACTGATATTAAATATTTTGCGGCCGTCAGTCGAGCTCACACTGAGGGAAAAAAAAGCTGATTACAAAAAGTGCCACAGTGCAGCCACAACGCTTTCCACCGTCATGAAAGCAGATCCTGATTGAGGAGCTCCCACAAAGAGCTTTGCTTAAACAGCTGCCCGTCTCCTCACTTTGTTCCCAGCATCCAACCAGTCTGTGCATGCGGAGACGGTTACCGACGGTTATTTGAAAGAGGATTTGCGGCTATCACGGTCCTCAGCCTCGAGCAGACACCACTTACCAGACTGAGGGGCAAACAATGCAGACTCTTTTGGTGGTTTGTTTCAACACACTGTGGTGTCACATGGGAACAGACTGTTTAAAGAATAAATCGAGCAATTCAAAAAGAAACCTGTTGGTCTGACACCGTGTGCTCTGTCTTAAGTCCCTGACGCTTCTGGGTTTCTCATTAATAACTGTTTAAAAATAGCAGTAGAGAGTTCTCCTCAATAAAAGAAAGTTTCCCCAACGGAGTGTTTTGAATGAGTACCAGCATGTGAGTAATTTGCTGGTGTGAATGGGGGCAGCAGCAGTCTTTTAGACACCTAAATAAGATATCTATATTAGTTGAAGTGTACACTATATTTAGTATATTTTCACAGCTTTACTTGTCTTAAGAAAGCCTTTTCCAACAGGGATCTGAAGCTCTTCAAAGCCACAACACTCCTCTGACAAAAACAGTAATTTCTCCTCACAGAACACAGGAGTTGCCTCATTAGTTGTGTTATTGTCTGACTTTTGTGATTTAAAGGGATTGTTCGGATTCACCAAAGTCACACAATAACACGTTCAAACTAACCAGTTGGTAGACGAGCAACTCCCGTGTTCTGTGAGGATAAACTGCCGTTTTTGTCAAAGGAGTCTTGTAGCTTTGAAGAGATCGATCGTAGCTAACGGCTTCAGCTCCCCGTTGGAAAGTTGATATTTATATTTATTAGGTTTCTAAAACAGTTCATTGCTTTGCTCCTGTGTTAAACTTCATCTACTGTAGATAATACACTGACTCTGGATAAGAACTTCATACAACCCCACCACAAAATATCCAAACTATCCCTTTAAGAAACAGTAATAACACTAAGTAGGGTGACTTAAATACTTGTTATTTGTAATGGTCTCTGTTGCCAAGCAGAGTCGGCTGTTTTCCGTTCTTTGTTTCCTTTCTCTTGAGACCACAGAGGGAATAAGCCATGTGGCTGTTTGTGTTATCCCGACTATTTCTATTTTTAGAGTTTTGCTTTTCAGAATAAGGCTGAAACTAAAAGTAACAACACATCTCAGCTAGTGTTCTGGAGAAGCTAGAAGAAATATACTCATGCTGGTGAATCCCTCCCAAGTCCAATTCCATTACAGTCACCTTACACAAAAAAAGGTCAGAGGTCATCAAGACTTAGATCAGATCCTAAATCTGCGTTCACATCTTCATCAAGGAGATCACCACCATCATCATCATCATCATCCTCCAGATCTGATCCCGGACCAGCGAAGTCACTCCGTCTGGACTGAACGCTCAGACGCACTCGAGGCTTCTGATGAGGAGCTGGCAGAGATGAAGAGCAGAGAAGGAGCAGTTACTGTGAGTGTGTGTGTGTGTGTGAGACTGAGTGCCTCTTGTGGGATTAAGCTGGAAAATATTCAAATGTCTTCCCATAACTGTGAAACAAGTATGTGTGTGTGTGTGTGTGTGTGTGTGTGTGTAAACAATCGCCAAATTAGCTTGGCTTCATGGGTCCAAATCACTCTGGGAAACATTTAGAGTAGAGATTGTAATCTCTTCCGGGAACATCAACCTTCTGTTACGGTAAGTCTCAAGGGTGAGCAGTGCGCACGCACGCACGCACGCACCCATATTTACTGGTTTCACAGAAAAAGTTGGAGAAGAAATAAGAGCTTTGGAAGAACACAGAGGGTTCACCAACATGCTCACAATGGTGCCGTACATTTATGACCCAGTTTCTTGTCATTCTCGTCTCTTTGTACTCTTCTTCTCTGCCTTCATCATAAAACGTGTGTAAACTTGTGATGCATTTTAAAGAATGTTCTTGACATTTTGGGAAACTTGCTTATGCACTTTCTTGACGAGAAAATCAATACCGCTCTCACGCTGGTGTCCACGTAAAACGCTGGAGACACACCCCCTCTCCATTTATTTCACCCTAGAGTTCATCAAATAAATAATTAACTGAATTATCAAATTGTAAATTAAACTTGGAAGCATTATGCAACATTGTGAAACTTTGGCGCTGCTGTTTACAGCAGCTGAACTCTGCCTCTAACCGAAACAGGTTCTGTGGTTCACACATCTGACTGAACGCTGCACATGCAAGACTTTGTGGTTATTTTGCACAAACAGTCACTCACTAACAAACACATTCATATATAGATATAGATATAGATATATATATAGATATAGATCTATTTCCTGTCGTCACCGTGAGGCTGCGGAGGCTCCAGAACAGATGTGGTTCAGAGAGGTATCGGACGAACGTGCATATTTGCCACCATGTAAAACTATTCCTTTAACCAACTGTGTGCTGAACAGGCGAACGCAGGCGAGCGCTGAGTCAGATCTACTGGGATGAATCAGAGAGAGGGCTGAGCCAGATGTGTGGGGGAGGGACGGGAGGGGGAACAACACGTCCCATCTTGCTGTAAACCGCCATCGTTCTGTGTCAATCTGGTGCACATGTAGGTGGACCGAAGGCTTACAAGAATGACATGACGAGAACGCGTGACGTTTGTGTTGCGATGACTCAGCGCGCTGTGCTTTAGTACCTGGAGGTGCACGGGGCAACCGTGCTTAGGTGCATTTTATAAAAAGAAGACATTTGTCCTCACCTTTATCATCCAGCCATGACAGATCATCCGAGCTGACCTCAGCCAGGCTCGGGGTCGGGCTGAAGTCTTCTGAGTCAGAGTCCGCCTCTTCAGCTCGGACCCCTCTACTGCGGCTGGTAGGGAGCGGGAGCGGTGACGGACCTGAATCACATAGAAAGACACAGTTCATGGGAGACACTCAAATATCGGTATTCACAGACTGATCAGATTTGAGATTTTGAGAGTATTTAGCCTTCATAACATGTTCTTTCAGATTAGTGGAAACCAAACATCTAAAATACACATTTAGGTGTTTATTTTACTACTTTGTCTATTTACGTTAGTAGATTTCTCCTAAATTCACCAAAAAGTTACCCTAAGATAACGTCTCATTTGCATATTCAAACATGACATTTCAGGAAACTTGTATTAGAAAAAATAATTGTCTTAATGTTAGTAATGAACTGGGGAAGTTTCATTGTGATATCTATTAGTTGTTTTTTTTTTTTTACCATATTCACCTTCAAAACGTCTGTAATCTTCCAAAACATCTCTTGAAAGGCTGTTTTCTCATAATACGTTGTTTCTCAGACTCTGAGCCAGAAATCTCCACTTCAGTAGTTCTTACAGACACCAAACTCCACAGTTTCATTCCTCTCTATATTCCGAAGGTTTTTACTGAGGGGTTTGTTCATAGATCATTAATATTGTCATATATACAACATTGTATTCTTAAAAACATGGAGAAAATGAATTTTTTTTATGGCTTTTGACGCAATTTTTGACACAAAGAGATATTAAAAATGTCTCTTAAATGTGTAAAAACCTTTGACACCTGGCTTTTTATTCTGGAAATGTATGAACATATTTGATGAGATAATGTCTGATTTGCATATTTAAATATACAATTTCAAAAAACCTTTTACCCTATTCCCCTGTAGTGTCTCCCCTTAAATACTTTAACATGCTGTGTGTGTGTGTGTGTGTGTACGTGCGTGAGGCCCAGAGAAGGAGA